TGTTTGTGTTGATTTGGTAATAATATTTCGTATTTTCGTTTGTCGTTTGGAATCCTACTTCATTTTTTAAAATTTTTATGTTCTTGTTTTTGTTGATTTTTAAAATAATATTTATAGTATTTCTTTAGTTGCAATTGTGATACTTATTGATTTTACACAAACAATAATTTTCTTTATTATTATTATCATTGTTTTAACATTTATGAGAGATAGCATTGAATAGACATGCTGAAGGAATATCAACTATACTGATGACGAGTGAAACTAATACTAGTCTTGACACAAGTCCTTGTTCAAGAATCTGTGAGCTAAGAGTGTCAATCCTCCCTGCTATTCCTGTTCTTCCAGGCTGTTGTCAAGTTCATAATTATCATTGCATATCATAAGTCATAACATTAATTAATTGTTTGTTTTTTAAAATAAAATAAAATAACACACTTGATAAAACAGTAACATGTAAAATCAATACCTTCTTTTAGCTGGAAACCTCCACTAAAGTATTGCAGTAGTTGATTCCAAGCATAGCAATTAATTGCTTCTTCCAGAGCTGCAGATCTGAGCATGCGCGACCACACCCAAATTTGGAGCACATGGCAAGCTTCTTTAATTAACAAAATGGCGGCATGTAGCTAAGATGGCTCGATCCAGCAGTCACAGCATCACTTTTTCCTTGCTTGAAGAATGATTTTGATGGGACATGGACCTGTGCATAGACTGTTGGAGTAGATTGGTGTAAGAATTATCCTTGTAGCACCAACTGATACTGAGATACACACCGACAACTGGATTGACAGGACTTGATGATGATGATCATGAAGATGAAAAAAGGTGGCTGAACAAAACGACCGGCGGTTCGCCAATTTTTGACTTTTCGCTTAGACGAGGTCTAGAGCCACGCTAGTTATACCATTGGAGTCCTCTGGTCAAGATAAGGTCCTCTACAAAGTCTGGTAAGCATAGGAGCTGGTTTTCCCAGTATAGCAACTACCAAGGCTGCAAAAGTCGTGGCAGCCATTTTGTTTGGGGGTGAATCCTACTTAGTAACGCTACCGCATTACTAATAAGTACAGGGACTTTGGCCCAATTTTTGAGCAACTTTAAAAATTTGTAAAAAATCTATATTTGATTGGAACCAACTCAAACTTTCTACACAACATAAGAACATGTATATGTAACAGGAAATATTATAAAAATAGATATACATAATTCTTTCTCTTTCAATTTTGGTAAAATTTGGCCCAAAACCATGTACTACAGTACAGGGACTTTGGCCCAATTTTTGAGCAACTTTAAAAATTTGTAAAAAATCTAAATTTGATTGGAACCAACTCAAACTTTCTACACAACATAAGAACATGTATATGTAACGGGAAATGTTATAAAAATAGATAATTCTTTCTCTTTCAATTTTGGTAAAATTTGGCCCAAAACTATGTACTACAGTACAGGGACTTTGGCCCAATTTTTGAGCAACTTTAAAAATTTGTAAAAAATCTAAATTTGATTGGAACCAACTCAAACTTTCTACACAACATAAGAACATGTATATGTAACGGGAAATGTTATAAAAATAGACAATTCTTTCTCTTTCAATTTCGGTAAAATTTGGCCCAAAACCATGTACTAGAGTACAGGGACTTTGGCCCAATTTCTGAGCAACTTTAAAAATTTGTAAAAAATCTGAATTCGATCGAAATCAATTCAAACTTTCTACACAGCATAAGAACATGTATATGCATTAGGAAATATTATAAAAATAGAAAATTCTCTCCTTTTCAATTTTGGCAAAATCTGGCCCAAAACCATGTACTACAGTACAGGGATTACAGTACAGAGAAAAATTCAAATTTGATCAAAATCAGCTCAAACTTTCTACACAGCATTAAAAAATCAAAAAATATTACTAAAATAAAGAATTCTATCCTCTTCAATTTTAGCAAAATTTGGCACAAAACCAAGGACTTTGGCCTGATTTTTTAATAATTTTAATAATTTTTAAAAAAATCAAATTTGATCAAAATCTGCTCAAGGTTGATACACAACATAAAAACATGTATACATATTAGAAAAATTATAAACCTGGAGAATTCTCTAATTGTGAGTTTGTTTAAATACCCTGTTACAAACTATTGTCTTAAGCACAATTTTTGAGTAACTTAATAATCTACTGACAAGAAGCTGAATGAGCACTATGCAAAAATCCTGCAAAAACCCTATCTGGCTGTTTCATAAAAACGATAAATCAAATTAAACAGTGTTCAGACACAATGTCTAAATATTCTTTGAATGTAATTTCAGGCTCTATGGGACTATAGAATACTTTTATGTAATACACAACACCATAACCTATTGCAAATCCACATGAACCCAGCCCCTTATTTTTGTATGTTGTAAATTTAGCATTATACTTTTTGTTCACCTATGACGTGTACTTTCACCGTAATTATTTATTTTTTACTTTGTAATGAAGGAATTGATGGAGAAAATTGAAACATTAAAGAAACCAATCCAGTCACAGTTAGAGTTGGAAGAAAAATTACATCAAGCTAAAGAAGAAAATGCTTTCCTCCGTAAAGAAATGTCACAGTTACAAAGCAGTTGGAAAGTCAGTCATGAAGATATTACTCTGTCAAAAGAAGAGCTTGGTAGAGGAGCATGGGGTGTTGTATGGGTCGGTCAGTTTAGAGGGCATCCTGTTGCTGTTAAGGAATTACATGAGGCAATACGTAGTCCACTTTATCTCGAGAACATTCATCGTGAGATGAGCACAATGTCTCAATTACGTCATCCTAATCTCCTCCAGTTCATAGGAGCTGTGTTAGACCATCCATCAGGTAATCCTATGATTATCACTGAAGTACTGGATACATCATTACGCAAAGCTTATGATAACAAGGAGCTGACCCCTGACCCTGGCTGTAGACCAGTGATTCTCTCTATAATGCGTGATGTAGCTGTTGGCCTGAACTACCTACACTGCCTACCTGATCCCATTATTCATCGTGATGTCAGCAGTGCTAATGTACTACTGGAATCAAAGGGAGACAAGAAATGGAAGACCAAGATATCTGACTTTGGATCAGCTAATGCAGCAAATAAAGCAGTGACCAGACTACCAGGAGCTGAGCCTTATACAGCACCTGAAGCTCTTGCTCAACACATCATGAGCACAGATTCCAAAAAAGAGCAAACTACAAAGATGGATGTATTCAGTTATGGTGTTTTACTCTGTGAAATAATAACTTGTCGTTTTCCAGATCGAGATGTATTTCAAAACATGCTTCATCAAGTGCAGAGCATCAACAGCAGATCAATGGGTACCAGTGATACACAAGGGTCTCTCCTACACTCTCTCATTATTTGGTGCTGTAAGGATGATCCTTTGGAACGACCGTCAATGAGTCAAATTATCAAACAAATTGATAATATTTCTTCTATGTAGAAGTAATTCTTATTTTAATTATTTGTATGCATGCTACTGTTTGTTCAGTTTCCATAAGTTGACATTTATTATTATGAATCTACTGAGGACATCATTCACTAGCCTATAAGAATTCACAGCCCCTCCTTCAGGCTCCTTGCAGGTACTCAATTGCCCAACTCTCCTCATTCAAGGAACTGCAGAGGACTCATCATGCTATTATCAAATGAAAGCCAGGCTTGTTGTTCTTGTTCTATCTACTTGCCTCATTTCAAGCTGTCAACTGCTACAATCATGCAGTGTGTACATTACTGTGTGAGTATGCTAATGATGATTAGACTTTAAAATGTACCCAGCAAAAAAGTTACCTTGAAGGCTTGTAGCATTTAGTAAGCATTAAAGCCTGGTTTGTACTTTATCTACACAATGAAAATGATAATGCAAGACACAAGCCAATTTGAAAGTATATCCACCCAATTTTTTATTACATTTTCTGATACAAAATGATAATGTTTATGCTGCATAGAAAGTTTGAGGCCATTCCAACTATAATTTTTAGGTTGCAAAAATTTTTTTCAAATAAGCCAATTTTTGAAAAAATATACCTTGTACCATGATTGCCCATGGTCATGATTGCCCATGGTTTTTTCCAAAAAGGGCTCCAAAATAAACCCCAATTTTTATTATATTTTCTGATACATATTGATTATTGATGCACTTATGGTATGTAGAAAGTTTGAGTTGATTCCAACAAAAATTTTTGTGCTATAGCCATTTTTACAAAGTAGAAAATTTTTGGAAAAAAGCGAAAACTATAGCTCGTGATTTTTCTTACATAAACTATAGCCATGGTTTCATGCATAATCTGTGGCTGCATGCCATTAAGCAACCAGCACTTTATTTTTATAGCATTGATTATGTAGCAGCAACCAGCTCAGATGCATGCACCATTCTGAAGATAAAGGTTATTTTAAAAAAAGTTGGGGGAGTTCTAAAAGTGCACAAAATGTGAAGAAATAAAATACACCATTTCATAGTATATAAAAGCTTACTACATAGTCAAATAAAAAAAGGTCTATAAGAATAAGCATACACAAAAACTAAAACTGTTCTACTGAACATAAATCTCATAATAACTGACAGGAACATCTTCATTATTAGTTGCCTCATCTCCACACACCCTCAACTCAATATAGTCAGTAGTGGTAGTGTTACCATAGTCTCTGTGAAACCATGGGATACCAGGAACATTACAACAAGGTGATTCAGCAGAACCACAACTTTGACCATCCCAGAGTGGATCAGATGTATACAATTGCTGTTGATATAAACCAGTAGCAATCCCTGATTCACAAAAATAATGATCACCAATGAATGATTGAACTTGTTGTGTAGAATCATTAGCACAAGGACAATTATAATAATTAATATGAACATTTTGTTCATAATTTCCAGCCATTAGTGTCCAGATATGTTGACGAGGAGATCCATGAGTGATACTAACACCATCAACATAATTACCATTCAAATTATTGTGATTAGAACCATGAATATTGTCAACAGCATCAGGTGTATAATATTGATATCCTGTTACTCTACCACACACCTGAGAATAACTGATATCATTAGATGGGAACTGAACTGATACACAACTACCACTGCTTGTTACTGGTCTACCACAAGCTCTAACTCCTCCTGACTGGTACAGTCTAAATTCAGAAGGACAGGTCACTGTAGAGTCACTCATATCCAGATATGCTAGTCTTGTCCATCCTCCTCCTGAACCACACAACTCCTCCATATTACAGTAAGTATAAAATAAGCTGCTACCATTAGTAGTTACTAGTACATAAAAACCTGATGAGATGCCTGGCTTTTCATCTTTAAGTTGTTTGCAAGATGTAGGCAGTGAAGAAGAGATATTATGTAACTGCAGCAATTCTTGTACCACTATTAGTATATCATCAACCACTCCAGCAGTAGAGGTACTGGTGTCTTTTATATTAGAGAGAGTACCAATAATGCTATTAAGTTTTATCACTGAGCTACTAACTGTATTTATGACACTATTCAATAGTATAGTGTTGTTCTCATAGAAGGTTTCTTCTTCTTCATTAAACTTTCCAATGACATCAACTTTGTTTGCTATATCTTGTAATGTGTTGTTAAGTTGGGTGATAAGACTCAATACTAGTGTATTGTTTTTTAATGAGACAGCATCAGATAATGAGGATAAGCTAGGATCAAGATGCTAGTAAACACCAGTAACAATATCATCGGACCATTGAGTGAAATTAGGAAACTGCTGCTGACTATTATTGTTCGTTGCCTGCAGTGAACTGTAGCATGAGCTGGTATTAGATCCAGTGCCAGTAGCCGCATTTTGTGTACTAGTCCAGTTCAGTCCAATAATGATAATGATAGTAACCAGTAGTAACAGTGTGATACACATCAATACTGTTAGTATAATAACTGGTATACTCCACACTGACTGATGGGATGATTTACTATCAGATACAATATGAGGCTGAGGCATTTTCTCTCCTTTATCATATTGAGCCAGCTCATATTCATTTTCCTGTGTTAAGTTTATTGGTTGGACAGACTGATAGCTTTCATCTCCCATTTCAGTACAAGATTGTATTAATTTTTGTGCATGGATTTAATCTTTAAATACTGTACAATAAACAAAGAATGCCAATATCGCATAAGTGTATACTGCTTTCCTATACACAACTCATAATATTTTTTGTAGGAAACTGAAACCTTTTGCAAATAAAAACAAGGAAACTTCAATTATCCACAGAAAATATATCATTATATACCATATACATGTACCAATGACAGTGAATCAGTACTTGTGTATTGCAGTGGCAGCCAATGGACAAGTCAAGACTATACACAAAATTGAAACTGTTTCACTAGATCTTAATCAAAAAATGATTTCACTAATAACTAACTTTTGCTGATAAAGGCCAGTGATCATATAATACTGATTGGTATATTTTGTTGCTGATGACAATGGGTTTAGGTTGCCAATGGATGACCAAGTTGGTTCATTTTTTAATAATAGCTCAAACGTTCCACTAAGACATCAATATGCATAAAAAATTTGAAGTGATTTAGGAGCCATTCATCTAAAAAAACCATTGGGTATAGTCTACAATTCTTTCCAAAAAATTTTTTAAATGGTCATTACTCAAAGAAAGAAATTGGGATTGGCACAAACTTTCTACACAGCATAAGTACATAAATGTGTATCACAGTGATTTTGAAGTCAATTTTTATTTCCCCTTACTAAAATTCTTTAATAAATGCAGCAAGAGATTTTACTATTATCATTCTTACAACCATAGGTATTGGCAGCAAGTACACCACATACCATACAAACAACAGAGTTTAGTGGTTTGTTGAGCAATCATGTAATGTGCTCATTTATAATTATAAACTTGAGAAGAGCTTGACCAATGATGTCAAAAATAGATTATTTTGAAGCACAAGAATTCAAATATGCCCATATCTGCACACCTATGAGGTTATACTGATGTGTAGTTATGTGCGAAAAATGTAAGGAATGTACTCTAGTACAAGCCACTCCTTTATTATCAAAACAAACATTAGTCACACAACATGCAACTGATGGGTATGATGTATTTATTCATCAACAAAAACATTACTTCCGGACAATATTGATCATTTGTGTAAAGCAAAATTTTCCTATAAATATTTAATGATCTCATTAGTTCTTTTGAATTAATGAACAAAAGCTACTAATTACACAAGACTGAACTAAAAACAAAAGTAAAACACAAAAAACTAAACTGTTTTACTGAACATAAATCTCATAATAGGTGACAGGAGCATCTTCATTTTCAGTTCCCTCATCTCCACACACCCTCAACTCATATAGTCAGTAGTGGTAGCATAGGCGGTTGCAGGCCTGGGCATTAGGGGGCAATGCCCAGGTTGACTTTTTGACCAATAATTATATTCATGATTCTGGTGTGGGCATCCAGTGTAAACTGTGGTAGTTCAACAGGCTTCTTTGTTGTTTTATGCTAAGAAACCATCTCAATGAAGTTATAGATCAGTATTGTCCATTTTCCTTGCAAAATTGTATGGAACCACACCCACTCCACACCCACTAATTATTGATGCCCAGGTCAAACCAAATTTCTGCAACCGCCCATGAGTGGTAGTGCTACCATAGTCTCTGTGAAACCATGGGATACCAGGAACATTACAACAAGGTGATTCATGAGAATTACAACCTTGACCATCCCAGAGTGGATCAGATGTAAACAATTGCTGTTGAAATGTACTAGCTGCTGATTCACAGAAATAATGATCACCAACAAATGATTGAATTTGTGGAAGATAACCAGAAGTACAAGGACAGGAATGGTCAACTGAAGTAGTACTTTCAAAATTGGCAGCCATTAGTGTCCAGACATGTTGACGAGGAGACCCACGAGTGATACTCACACCATCAACATAGTCAGCATTCAAATTATTGTGATTAGAACCTTGAGCATCATCAACAGCATCAGGCGTATAATATTGATATCCTGTTACTCTACCACACACATGAGAGTAACTGATACCATTAGATGGGAACTGAACTGATACACAGCTACCACTGCTTGTTACTGGTCTACCACAAGCTCTAACTCCTCCTGACTAGTACAGCCTAAACCCAGAAGGACAGTTCACTGTAGCATCAGTCATATCCAGGTATGCTAGTCTTGTCCATCCTACTCCTGAACCACACAATTCCTTCATTGGCCTCGCCTACGCGAGGTATAGGTAGTTGTTGTGTGTGTCTGTCATTACCTAGTCTCGCGTAGCCAGACCACACCCTCCGTGCCTACGGGTGGGTCTGGCAAATTGATCGTACTCCGCTCGTTCTGGTTCACCCAAAAATGGGTGAACCAAATTTTTTTGCTCTACTTCACCCAGAAACGGGTGAATTGATACAGTAACTCTTGACTCTTCTCTTCTACTACCTTCTTCTTAAGTGACAAAAAGCTAGAGGAACAGCTGTGACAAATTATACATCTTCTCCCT